AGAAAGTGTTTCAAAATTCACACAAAGAGATCAAGGACAGCCTTTCCCAAAGTGTGTTTTCCTGCTTCCCAGTTTCATGAAATGCCCTATCCTACCCCCCATCCCAATAAATAAAGGATTGCTTAGACACAAGGGAGCCTTGGTGTTGTGGTGATTAGAGTGCTTGGCTGCTAACTGAAAGTTGACACTTGGGACCCACCAGTCACTCCATGGGATAAAGATGCAAGGGTCTGCTTCCGTAAAGCTTTACAGCCTTGGAAACCCTATGAGATGGTTCTACTTTGTCCTATGGGATTGCTGTGAGTCACAACCAACTCAGTAGCAGTTTGTTTGGTGGTTTTGGGTGATGAAAGGAGATTAGGAAATGTTACATATTCTATCTGCCTTTTGAAGAGTCACCAAACAAGTTAGCAGACCACAGACTCTAAGCTGTCCTGGGTAAAGGATTGTTTAACATAATATTTCCCAAGGTTACTAGACTGATCAGCGGAATCCTGGAGAGATGCTGTGGATTAATGCTCTGAAAGACTCATTAACAACCTGCAATATGCAGATGATGCTCTTTGCTTACTGAAAATGAAGAGGACTTGAAGCTCCAGGCTTCAGTATGGATTACATCTAAACATAAGATAGCAACATTCCTCACAAGTCGACTAATAAATAACATCATGGTAAATGGAGAAAAGATTGAAGTTTCAAGGATTTCATTTCACTTGGATTTACAAACAACACCCATGGAAGCATCAGTCAAGAAATCAAACAACGTATCGCACTGGGCAAATCTGTTGCAAATGATATCTTTAAAGTGTTAAAGAGCAAAGATGTCACTTAGGTCAAGCTGTGCCTGACCTAAGCCAGGGTATTTTCATTCACCTCATATGTGTGCACAAACTGGACAGTGAATAAAGAAGCCCAGAGAAGAATTGATGCCTTTGAATTCTGGTGTTGGTGAAGAATATTAAATATACCATAGACTACCATAAGAACCGGAGTGTGGTGGCTCCACATAATAAGTACTGGACTGCCAACCAAAAGTTCCATGGTTCGAGCCCACCAGCTACTCTGTGGGAGACACATGATGCTTTCTGCTCCTGTGAAGATACAAAGTCTTGGGAACCTTATACACAGGGTTGCTCTGAGTCGGAACTGACTCAAGAACAAAAAAATTTCTGTTGGAAAAGCATGGTCAGAATGTTTTTTAGAAATGGTTAGACTTCGTTAAGCATATTTTGAGTCTGTATTTGAGGGAACCAGTTCCCTGGAGGAGGGCATCAGGCTTGTGAAAAAGTGGAATACCCTCAGTGAATGAATTGACATAGGAGCAGCAGCAATGGGCTCAAACCTGGCAACGTGTGTGAGGATGGCCTAGGATTGGGCAATGCTTCATTCTGTTGTACACAGGGCCCTTATGAATTGGCATCTACTTCACAGCACCTAACAAGAACAACAGGAGTCCTGACATTGCATGTAGGATAAGCACTGGACTGCTAACCTAAAAGTTGGCAGTTCAAACCCACCAGTCACTCCTTGGAAACCCTATATAGGTCATTATGAGTCAGAACCTACTCAACGGCACAACAAAACAACAACAATTACAATAACAAGAATATTCACATCTTGGGGGTGTAGTGGTAGAATTCTTAACTTCCGTGATTCCCAGACCTCATGTGGAGTCTCACTTGTTACTATGGACACTGACCAGGTTTCAACAGAACTTTCAGACAAAAATGGACTAGGAAAAAAGGCCTGGTAATCTACGTTCAAAAGTCAGTCAATGGAATCATAGCAGTAGATGGTGCATGGGATTGCCATTAGTCCAAGGCTGACCCCTCCACATTGACCACATTGACATCTCGGAAGATTCTGGAATTCTGTGGGATACCACTAGGGAAAGAGTGGATTATGATGATGCCTTCGCCATCATGTACAAGGGAAGGAGCAGTATTTCACAGCATTAGAGGTGACAAAAGTTTGAGTGGGCTTGAATCATGACACGACACTCATCCATTAACCCTGCTGGTGCCTACAAAATCTTCTTGCAAGAAAGGTCTCCTGAGATAAGGATGAGGCTTGTGACCACAGAGGATGAGGTCATTAACTTTGTATGAGAAGCCCATCCAATGTCAGTGTCCTTAGCTCATACTTTAAATCACTGGCTCGCCTCTGTGACTAAATTCAGTCTCAGTATTGGCAGATGATAGTGGAAATGATCCATATGCTCTTAAAAGCCATAGAGGTGGCACTCTGAATATATATATATATATATGAATTATTCAATAAAACTTGCATCTCAAACCTTGATAGAAATTTAAAAAATCTTCTGAATCTATTTCCTATTGCTAAACCAAAATAACATACCTACTGCCATAGAGTCAATTCTGATCCATAGTTACTCTATAGAACAAGTGTAGAACTGCCCTATAAGGTTTCCAAGGCTCAGGTAGCGTAGTGGTTACGAACAGGGCTGCTAACCTCAGGGTCAGCAGTTCGAAACTACCAGCTATTCCGTGGGAGAAATATGAGGCTTTCTGCTCCCATAAAGGTTTACAGCCTCAGAAACCCTGTACAGGGTAGCTACGAGTTGGAACCGACTCCACGGCACATAGCAACAAAACAATCTTTATGGAAGGCAGACTGCCAGATTTGTTTTCTACAGAGTGGCTGGTAGGTTCAAATTGTCCCCCTTTAGTTACCAGCTGAGTGCTTAACTGTTTGTGCCACCAGAACCCCTTTTCCCTCTCTTTCTGGATAGCTAATAATAAACGCTTATAAATCCTCGGTGTTTCTTTGGTTGAAATTTTTTAGCAGTGATTCCCAAACTTGCTGTATAATAGGACATCCTGAGCAGCTTTGATAAATTCCAGTGAAAGGCCAGATTTAATTACTAAGTTGGGGGTGGGAGCCAGGCATCTTATTTTTAAGAGATCTCCAGTAACTCAATGTTTAGCAAAGTTTTTTTGGAACTACTAGTCTAGAAACACTTTAATTTCTAGACATATTATTTCTGCAACTATGACTTTGTGAGGGAAGCAGGGTAGGAATTCATCTTCATCCTCATTTTATAGGGATAGCTAAGGTCCTAAGAAGTTAAGGAACATGATCAAGGTACAAAGCTGAGTCAGATTCTAGGCAAATGCCACTCCTTTGACTTTATCTAGGGCAAATCCATCAAATCATAATCTAGTCCAGAAATAGAAATGTGCCGAACACCACATTTCTTGAACACCCAGTGGATTGAACACCCAGTGGATTGAACATGAACCTTTGTGTTTGTAGGAGAAACAAGAAGCCGCTTCAATGTATGCCCCCTGCCCCTCCCCTCAATATTGTTTCTATCTGTAGACTGCTGGTTTGCATTTAATTTATAGTGAGGCAAAACGGGACTTTTGTGTTAGAACTGCAGGAAATTATAAAAGCCCATAGCTTGCCTTCAGGCTTAATGTCAATGATTTGTCTCCTTTTACTTTGAAGCAAGTGTTCACCGTGAGTTTTGAAGTAGTCTCAAATATGTCCTCATTTAATTTTATAGTTTTTTTTTTATCAGCACGCATGGAAAACATCTACCATTCTGCAGGATTGTCATACTAGTGTGTACGGAGAGGATTTGAACAAGATGATACTGAGCTAGATGATTGTCCAACAACTCAGTTTCTGAGGCTTTGGGGTATATTAACTACAAATTTAGAAACAAGGTTGACAGAAATTATTGATAACTCCTAAAATAATATCAGCTCAAAATGTATTTTTCACTATCTAACATGATTGTTTTACCCTATTTTAGATCTGAAGATGGCAATATTGAACATAGAGAATAATGAATAAAACATATGTCTTACAATTGAAAGGGAACTGAAAAGATTGGGATCCACTTGTTGTCTCTATGTCGTTACTGTTAATTACCATTGAGCCATCTCTGACTCATTGTTGTTTGTTGTGAAGTGTCGTTGAGTCGGATTCAACCCATAGTGACCCCATACAGGGTTTCCGAGGAGCAATGTGAGCTTGAACCGCCGATCTTGCAGCTCAAACAGCTTTGCAGTCCACAGCGCCACACCAGGATTCCACACCAGGACTCTCTCTGACTCATTGTTGTTGTTGTTAAGTGCCGTCGAGTCGGTTCCGACCCATAGCGACCCTGTACAGGGTTTCCGAGGGTGTAAATCCTTTACGGGAGTAGAAAGCCTCATCTTTCTCCTGCGGAGTGGCTGGTAGTTTCAAACCACTGACTTTAAGGTTTGCAGCCCAATTCGTAACCACTACGCTACCCCTTATACAACAGAATGAAATGTTACTTGATTTTGTGCCACCCACATGATGATTGGCATGCTTGAATGCGTTGTTGTGACCACTGTGCATTTCGAATGCCTTCCAACCTAGGGGGCTCATCTTTCAGCACCACATAGGACAATATTCTGTTGTGACATCTATAAGGTTGTCACTGGCTAATTTTTGGAAGTGCATCGCCATGCTTTTTTCCCTACCTTGTCTTACTCTGGGAGCTTCACTGAAACCTATTAACCATGGATGATCCTGCTGGTATTTGAAATACTGGTAGTATGACATCCAACATTATAGTAACACATAGGCCAATCTGACAGATGGGTCATGGAGTTAATAATACCCACTGCCTTTGAGTCGATTCCAACTCACAGGGACTGTGTAGAGGGTTTCTGAGACTGTAAATGGTTTACAGTAAATGGTTACTCCTGCGGAATGGCTGATGACTTTGAACCACCAACCTTACAGATAGTAGGCCAAAGTAGCTTACAAATCTTCTTTTGATTTTTGTTGGTTTAGAACAGTGGTTGCTCAGTCAACTGCTCTGGAGTTAGGTCCAACAATCTATTTTCTAAGAAGTTCTCCAGATGATTATACATTCAAGTGTGAGAATAAGTAGACCGTAATTCTCATCAAACTGCCTACCTGCCTGGCCAGATAAGGCATTAAGTCATTCATCCTCATTCAGCCAATGCCTGGGGCCCATACTTTCTTCCCTAAGCATGCCCATACATCAGACTTCTGGCAGCTTCCTCACCTGCACCATTCTAGACAAAGCAGTATACCCAGAAGGTGGGAACTTGACCAGTACTTAGCCTCTGGGGGAGAAGATGGCACAGTGTTGAAGTTGGGACATATTTTCTCCACCTGCCTCTATGGTTCATCTTTTATCACTTACCTCTTTATAACTAGGAGGCCAGAAAGCAGGATACCTGGAAGTTGTCATGATCTGTTCTGGGCTATTCCAGCTTCTCTCCAGCTTCATACAAAAGGCACCCTTATAGCCTTTGAAGGCAGAGTCATCTTGCCTTATGCAGACCTGTACATTCAGGGTCCCTAGGTGACTACGAACTACTTTCTTCTCAGGTCAGTTTGGGGAGGCCCCAGTTAATAAGTATATTTTCCCAGAATCCTTTGGGCCATTGGCATGGAGCACACTATAAAAATGAAAGAGAAGAGTGAGACAAAGAATAAAGACAGATGGAGGTAGGGGTTGTGGAGCTTTAACAGTAGAATCTACTTGGGGAATGGTTAAGTTTGGAGGGCTTGGGGTGGGAAGACAGAAAGGCAGGGTTCAGTGTGTAGCCTCGCTTGTCATATTGGTAAGGAATGTCAATTATCGAAGAAAATTCCTCATTGAGGAGGAATAAAGGTGCTGCTGCTCCTTTGGTGCCAGACAGTTTCAGTTTTGCTACAGCCAATTCATGCAAATACCCTAACCTGCAAGATCTTTGCATTTTGCATTTACTTGAAGGAGAAAGAGATGTACAGTGTTTGGAAGCTTTGATGCATTTTTTTCCCCCTAGTGTTGTACATCTTATTTTCCTTTGAAAAAATAGTACAGGACTCAAACTGGGAGGCGATACCTTTCTACAGCATATTCTTCATGAACAAATATGCCCCCAGACAGACCCAGTTCCAGAATTGTTAGCAAGAACTGTCAGTATCTTAATCATCCTTTTTCAAATGAAGCAGCTGATGTTTAGAAAGGTTCGGAAACTTGACTAAGGTCCACAGTTATAAAAGAAGTAGAGTTGGAATTTGAACACACCATCTAACTTCAGAGTCAATGCTATACATTAAGTTATACTGTGTTAGACCCCATAAGTATATTACTTCTTTTAATCCTCATGATACCTTTATTGGCAAAGAAGTAGAAATTCAGAGATCAAATTGTCTGAGGTCACATAAATATTGAAACCAAGACTGCTAGACTCCACATTCTTCACCACTTTGCCTCTACTCTTCAGAATGTCATTCTGTTTGACAACTTTGGATGATGGGGAGGGTTGCAGAGGAGAGGGCTCCAGTAGCCTCTGAATTCTCTGAAGAGTTGAATTATTGTACGTTTGCGTCATTAAGTTTCCTCTGTTTCTCTTTGTTGGCAGGACTCAGTGAAAATATTGGCCTTCCCCTGAGTCTATTTGAGAAGCACGACCCCTGGCCAGCCTATGTCACATATACCTCCCCAATGGTGAGAAGCCTCATTGAGAATAGCCGAGCTCGAGACCTAGAATGCATACAAGCCATTGAAGAGAATCGGTGGGGCTCAAGGCAAAGCAAGCCTTCCAGTGCCATTCATCTGAAGAGGTGGAAGTCCAAGTCCTCCAGCAAAGCTGCGTTAAAGGACAGGCTGTCCGATAGCACATTATCAGTTTCTACAGTTCTCCCAGAACCCACACACTATAGTACAGAGTCCAGAGAATGTCCCACTACAAACTATAACAAGATCATCTTTGCCCGAAAGCCCATGATAAGAATGCTTCCACGCAGCTCACTACCAGCCAGCAAAGAGAAACGTTCCAATGTTTAGCAAAGCATTTCTGCAACCATCCCACAAGATTGTACAGCAATTAAGCTCAATTTGCCATAAATCTCATTATGTCCTTTAAATATGAACTCGCTCCTGGTTATGCTGAGGTTGAATGAGCTATAAACCAGATCAGAATGTGGGTCTTGAATGGGTGGGTCATTCCTTCCAGCATCTGCAGTTTGGTGAGGTTGAACTGACCAGTTGCCCCCAGAGGTATTTGGGACTTCACTGTGGATTTATTAGTCAGGCCCCAGGCAGGAGACAGCATATACTAGTCATTTTAACAGAGGGGAACTTAAGATAAAAGAATTACTAATCAGGTATCTAAAAAGGCAGAGAGAGAACTAAGGCACAATGCAGATATCAGTCTTAAATCTGGGGGAATAAAGGGAAGATATTAGGCTTATTAAAAGATGTTATTGTTGCTGTCAAGTGCCGTCGAGTCGATTCCTACCCATAGGGTTTCCAAGGAGCAGCTGATGAGCTTGAACCACCGTCCTTGCAGTTCAAACGACTTTGCAGTCTGATGCGTTAGCCCACAGCGCCACACCAGATAGTCACTTAGAAAAGGGGCCTATGAGCTAAATCTTGGATTTATGAGGTTGGGTGAGGGGTACTGCTCATTTCGTGTCTCTGAGCTGGGGGGAGAGTCTCTGTGGAGATCTTAGGAGGGGATGATGAGGGGACACCAAGAAACTAATTTTGTGAGTGTTAGAGAAACTACAAACTGGATTCAAAGACTTCTGGAAGAAATTGCCACTGCTAGAGTGAAGAAGCAACATTGTTGGGGGTGGCTGACAGGAATAAGATGTCATTAGGAAGTAAACAGAATGCAAACAGGGAGAAGGTGCTTTTTAGCACTCCTGTTGGCAGAATCTATCAGGTAGCAATTTATAGCCTTGGAAACCCTATGCAGGGTCTCTATGAGTTGGAACCAACTCCACGCACATAATCACCACCACCAGCATAGGGTTTCTGAGGAGCGGCTGGTGAGCTTGAACCTCCGACTTTGTGGTTCAAAGTAACTTTGCAGTCCTGCACATAAACCTACAGCGCCGCACCAGAACTCCACAAAGTTACTACAATGGCGCTGAGGGTTAATGCACTGGACTGAAAAATCACTTTGGTTCAAGCTTACCAGCTGCTCCTTAGAAACCCTACACAGGATCACTACAGGTAGGAACCCACTCAACGGCATTTAACAACAACAAAGCAGGTAGCAAAGCAAGAACGTGGTTTGCAGAACCCGGCCCTAACCCCAGCATCTGCATGTAGGATAAAAGGGAGGGTTGGAAGCCAAGAGAAAATCAGCTTAATAACTAGTCCAGCAGGGTTCAACAATGTTCCCCTTGGCACCTGAGCCTGGTACAGAGGTGCTTTTTCCTTGGAGGGTTTGCAAGGTGGCAATGGGGGTAAAGATGTCCCTTGCTGAGAAATGGAGGCATTTCTCCGATGTGCTTTCTTAGGGGTTGTCTTTGTGAGCAGAGCTGGCGGGGAGCAGTTCCTGGCTGAACCCCAGCTGTTATTTGTCAAACAACAGAATTGCTCCAACTCTGAGCTAGTCCCAGTTGGCTCCTAAGTGATGCCAAACAGTCCTCAGTCTAAGTGGAACCGGCATTGTTTTCAGAAGTAACATGGGTCCATTTATGCAGGGTTGACCTAGCTGGCTTCACATTTGGGGTTTATGCATTGACCATGATTTCCGGAGTAGTATTTCTTTTCTTTGACTCTGCAAGCACTCTCCTTACTAAGTGGTCTCTATGTATCCCTTAAGGAGCTCTGGTAGCTTAGTGATTACGAATCGGGCTGTGAATCTTACAGTCAGCAGTTTGATACTACCAGCTGTTCCGTGGGAGAAAGATGAGGCTTTCTGCTCCCATAAAGATTTACAGCCTCGGAAACCCTGTACAGGGTCACTGTGAGTTGGAACCGACTCCACGGCATATCACAACAACAACAACAACCATGTATCCCTTGGTCTTTCAGTTGCCTTTGAAGTTGGGGCTGGTGGGAGAGAACTGGAAATACCACCAACTTTTCTATGATCTTGGAAGCCTGGATCTCAATGTTTACATTTGAAAAGCAGTTCATACCTAGCCTGTCTCCCTCATAGATGTAAAGGGTGTATGTGCAAATAAATTTAAGTCCCGTTAGAAAAATTCAAATTTGTTCTACAAATGTATTTTCTTATAGACCCAAGAGTTTTGTGTAAACTTTTGTGGACATGGATACAGTATTATAAAGCTCGTCTTTGGCTGCTGAGCATCTGTGTTGGAACATTTGCACAAATTAGGAGCTGTGTTTCCAACACTTGGCTAGAATAAATTCTTGGCAAAAATATTGGTGGGTTCCAACGAATCTGAGTGAACATATTTTGTGTCCATGGACACACACAGGGACTCAAGTAACACAGTCCTCCAACAAGAACGTGTGTCTCATTCTTCCATTTCTTTGAGGAAAGTTTATGACCATGTAGTATTTGGAGAGGCATGGGTTCCAGAGTCTCATTAAGTGTTTGAATTTATAGAGACTCAGGATTTCTTTCAATCCCTTTGACGGAAGAGATATATGTGGTAATTTACCAAGAGTCACACACACACACACACAAAAGGAATGTTTAATACTTTTTAAGAAAAAGATGTGCTCTCTGAATTAAAGTGATTGTTTTATAGGTTGTTGTTGTTGTTAAGTGCCATCGAGTCAGTTCTGACCCATAGCAACCCTGTATAGGGTTTCCAAGGAGCAACTGATGAGCTTGAACCACTGACTTTGTAGTTCAAATGGCTTTGCAGTCTGGCGTATTAACTCACAGCACCACACCAGAATGGCTTAAATGGACATTAGTCATGGACATTATTAGCACCTTGTATTGTAATTGCAATGAAAAATTGCTTTTCTGTTGTTGTCATGTAATGTTGAATTAGTTCTGACTCATAGTGACCCTGTGTAGGGTTTCCGAAAATGACTGGTGGGTTTGAACTACCAACCTTGAGGTTAGCAGTCCAATGTTTATCCTACAGCATCTCCTAATGCAATATTAATTTAAAAAATCTAGTTTTTAATTTAAGGTTTTATTGTGGATTGAGTGAAAGTTTACGGGGCATATCATCAGTTTTACATTCAACACATCATATACCTTGTTTCATTACATTGGTTATAATCCCCTCCATGTACCATCAGTTAACAGTATTTCTCTCTATCCACTTTAGCTTTTTTTAAAAAACACACAAACAAAAAA